TAGCAGTATCATTTTTTCAATGATTTTTCATGTTAATCAAAAACTAATGGATGCACCTGAGTTCAGTTTACTCTTGGGAGCCCTAATGTACTTTGATTGTGTGCTTGTCCTTCCAATATAGGAGTATGCATTAGCATAGTAGCATTTTTTTTTAAGACCTGAAAGCAAGTGGAGTGCTACACGCATTTTTTTTCTTAATTTTGTAATCATTTGCTGAGAATTTCATGCAAATAATTTTTGTTTTGTTTTGTTTTTCGAAACAGGGTTTCTCTGTGTAGTCCTGGCTGTCCTGGAACTCATTCTGTAGACCAGGCTGGCCTAGAACTCAGAAATCCGACTGCCTCTGCCTCCCAGGTGCTGGGATTAAAGGCGTGTACCACCACTGCCCGGCAAGAATTTTTAACATTTTACCCCCCCACCCAATTGCTCCAAAATCCAGCCCTCTTTTCTTACTAACCTTGCCCCCACACACATACACCTCATAAAACTCATTAAGTCCAGTTTGTGTTACCCAAATACTTTTTTAATTATTTTTTATTGGATATTTTATTTACATTTCAGATGTTATCTTCTTTCCCCACTTCCCCCCACCCAGAAACCCGCATCCCATCCCCCCTCTTTCTGCTTCTATGAGGGTGTACCCCACCCACCCACCCATTCCCATCTCCCTTCCCTTGAATTCTGAAACACTGGGGCATCCAGCCTTCACAGAAACAAGGACCTCCTCTCCCACCTATGCCCAACAAGGCCATCCTCCCCTACATAGACAGCTGAAGCCATGGATCCCTCCCTAAGTGCTCCCAGGCTGGTGGTTTAGTCCCTGGGAGCTCTGGTTAGTTGGAATTATTGTTCTCCCCATGGGTCCACAAACCCCTTCAGCACCTTCAGTCTTCTCTCTAGCATCCACCTCTTTATATGTCAAGCTCTGGCATACCTCTAATGAGACAGCTATATCAGGATCTTGTCAGCCTGCACTTTTAGGCATCCACATGAGGTGGATACCCAGGTGGAACAGTCTCTGGACAGCCCCTTCTTCAGTTTCTGTCCCACACTTTGTCTCCATATTTGTTCCAATGAGTATTTTGTTATTCCGTCTAAGAAGGACCAAAACGCCCACACTTTGGTCTTCCTTCTTCATGAGCTTCATGTGGTCTATGAGTTGTATCTTGGGTATTGTGAACTTTTGGGCTAATATCCACTTATCAATGAGTGCATGCCATGTGTGTTCTTTTGTGACTGGGTTACCTCACTTAGGATGATATTTTCTAGTTCCAAATGCCAGCCCAGACTACTATACCCAGCAAGACTCTCAATCACTATAGATGGAGAAACCAAAATATTCCATGACAAAACCAAGTTTATACAATATCTTTCCCAAATACTTTTGGATGTGTAGTCATCCACTAGAGCATGGTCAACTTACTAGGAGCCATATCCATAAAGAAAACTGACTGTTTCTCTCTCAGCAGCCATCAATTTGCCAATGACTCTTCAACTAAGAGTTGACTTCACGCCCACCTCCTGTCTCCATGCTGGGATTTTGTCTGACTTAAGCTACCCCACATCCTTTGCTTGTGTTTCACAACTACTGTTAATTCATATGTGCAAATGTTATGTTGTGCCTAAAAAGAGTTTCCTTATTACAATCCGCTACCTCTGGCTCTTACACTCTTTTTGATCCCGTTTTCTTGATGACCCCTGAGCCATAGAAGGAGAGGTCATTGTAGAGGTGTGCTATTTAGGGCTGAGAGATCTACAATTCTCTCATTCTCTGAGCCTTGACAATTTGAGGGTCTCTATGTTAATAGACATCCACTGAATAAAAAAACTTCTCTGATAAGAGTTGAGGGATACATTAATCTAAGTGCATAATGGTAAGTCAGTGGTAAAGTAGTGCTTTAATACTATTTCAATTCTTCAAATAATAGTAGCAGGTACTCTACTAGGGCATATAACCCACATAGTCACAAATTGGCAGTCCTTGACAAGTAGCCACTGGGATTGGCAACCTAAATAGCAGGGTCTTGGATATGGGGAGTGGCCTCATTCATATACTTAATTCGTTTTTATTAACAGTTCTAGATATTTTAAATAACTTTTCCTTCAGCATCAATTTTTAAATATTGCTTGAAAATTAATAGGCATCATCACATCTGTTTAGCAGTTGAGAAGACTGACATTTCATTGTACTGAGTGAGTGCTACAACACATGAACAGTGTAACTTTTCAGTATTTATTATCTCTCTTATCAGTATTTTCTAATTTTCTGTATAGTAATCTTATGTATATTTTATTATGTTTATACTTAAATATTTTGTTTTTTCAGCCATCAGTAAAGATATATTTTAAGTCTCAATTCTCACCAGTCTCTTGCTAATATAGACATGCTATTGCTGTTCACATGGTCACCTTTATTGTGAAATTTCTTCAGCTCCTTAATATAGAGCATTGTATCTTTGCTAGTAGGACAGTGCTGTTTTGTAGTTCCTGAAATCTGTTACTGGATAGAACTATCCGAAGTATGATGAATATCAGAACAGGAGTAAGGATACAGTCACCTGGTTCCTCGACCTTAGAAGGCAAGCATTTAGTCTCTAATCATAACTCCTGTAGATTTTTTTCATTAAGTAAGAACTAATGTTAGGAGGTTTTTCATACAATAATGAAGAAGTGTTGAATTTTTCCAAATGTCTTTATCCATAAATTTATTTGATTATTTTTCTTCTTTCTGCTGTGAATGTATTTGATTACACTGATTGGTTTCCACATCTGAAACTAGAGCAATCATGGACAAAATCCCACTTGATTGTGTATGCAATTCTGTATGTGTGTCCAAATTAAGCTTTCGATATTTTGTTTTTTAAAATAACTTGCTTTCATATTGATGTGCGATTTAGAGAGTAGTAGTCTCTTTTCATGCTATCTATATCTGGCATTAAGTAATAAGTCACTCAGGATAAGTCAAAAATGATCCTTCTACATAATATTTATTTCCCCCTTAATTTTGGTGTATTCTCCAAGGACATATTTCAGTTACACTTATGTATTGTGTGTGTGTCCCTGTGTGTGTTTGTGTATACTTAGAGTATAATTTGTTCATTCATAAGGAATTCCTTTAATTATATAATTATATTGTATATGTAAATATATATTTATTATAGATGTTTATATATTATGCCATATATTATAAATATAATGACTATTTTATATACAATACTTTATATTTTAAATATGGTTAGTATATATATTGTAGAACTATAAATATATAAATATATGGCTCAATATATAATTATTTGATTACTTCAATTAGATAATATTTTACAGGTACAAAAGTCTATTTATATAAATTATTATTATATGAACAAAATTCAACTCTGTTGAGTATGCTACAGAATGAAACCAATACCTAGTGTTCAACACTAACATATATTCTTCAGTAACTATTTCAACGCTAGCATATATCGTTCAGTAGTTATATTACTGTTTACTATCTGTGGAAAGTGTTGATGGTTTGACGAGCTATTTGAGTCAGAAGATAATGCTTTTTAATCATACTTCCTGCTTTTTCCCATGGTCTTTCTTTCTTCAGGCTTTGGGTTATCTGGTGACCTATGTTGAATATTTACACTGTAAGTCACAGAAAATCTGTTGCCTGTGGTAAACTTAAGTAACTGGTGATCTGCTTTTCAGAGGGCCCTGAATCAATGCTCATAGTTTTAATACTCCTTTATGTCCCCTCTGGGAAGATCTATCAATATCAATCCCTGAACATTTTAGGAATTCTACAAGATAAATGTAGTCAATCATAAGCTTTCTTTATTGCTGGCTTAAAATTTGATCTTCTTGATGCTAATAAATCAGTACTCAACAATGCTGATTCTATCTTTTGAGGTACAAAAGTGTACTGTTATTACAAAACCATATATTTATGACTTTTAATTCAAAAACTTTTCTTGTTCACTTCATTGAAAAATAACACCTCTTTAAAATAAGACTGACAGGGATTAGAGAGATGGTTCCAGGGTTAAAAGCACTTGCTGCTCTTCCAGAGAATACAAGTATGGTTTCCAGTACATTGATTATGAATACCCAAGTGCGTATAACTCAAACTCCAGGGTCTAAAACCCTTCTGTGGATTCTGTGGGCACAGGTGCACCGACTGCATACGTTCTCTCTCTCTCTCTCTCTCTCTCTCTCTCTCTCTCTCTCTCTCTCCCTCCCTCTCTCTCTCTCTCTCTTTCTCTCTTTCTCTCTCCCTCCCTCCCTTTCTCTCTCTCTCTTTCTCCCCCCTCTCTCTTTCTGTTTCTCTTTCTCTCTCTCTCACATACACACACTAAAAATAACTTTTAACATCTTTCAGAAATAAACTACTTATAAAAATGAAAACCCCTAAAATTCAGTGATATAAACCAAAAGAATTCTCAATCACACCAAGTACTATGTAAGAAGAACACAGTTGGAAGGAGAACTACTTTAAACTCAGTATTCCCCAGAGCTCACCTCTGGAAACATTTCACAAAGTTATAGTGTTAGGTCATCACCTCAGTTGTACAAAAACATCTTGAAACCACTAAAATTGTGTACACCTTATAAATGTCTCAAAAAACAGGCTTTTCTGCTCAATTCAAGAGTTTGAATCACAATTAATAAACTAATAAAAAATAAATGTGTAAAAATTGTATAGCCTTCTTGAGACAGTCAAAATTTTATTTGTATATTGCCGCACACAAATACAAACACCTACATAATAGAGTAGAAAAGTATGAGATTTGTGTTTCTTATAGTTGTATATTCAAAGTTGACTTTTCCATGAAGTATTCTGTACCTTTAAATCAATCTATTACTAAAATACACATGCAAAGCAACGAACCTATTTATAAGTCTTTATTGTGAATGTCAAAGTAAAGAATGAAGTGAAAAATAAGAATTTTCTTAAATCTAATGAACGATTCTTTCTTATTTTGCTCCTTTTCTTGATCACCTATAGACTCTTGGTAGCTATGACACAAGGCAATGGCACTGAAGTCACTGACTTCTATCTTCTGGGATTTGGAGTCCAGAGAGATGGCCAATGTGTCCTCTTCGTTTTGTTTCTTGTTATCTATGTGACATCCATGGTGGGCAACACTGGGATGATCCTCCTCATCAACACTGATTCCAGACTTCAGACTCCCATGTACTTCTTCTTACAAAACCTGGCTTTTGTTGATATCTGCTACACATCTGCCATCACTCCCAAGATGCTGCAGAACTTCATGGTAGAAGAAAAATCAATAACTTTTAAGGGATGTGCAATACAATTATTTATTTATGCTATATTTGCAACCAGTGACTGTTATCTCCTCGCTGTTATGGCAGTGGACAGGTATGTGGCAATTTGTAAGCCCCTTCGCTACTCTTTAATCATGTCTCGACAAGTTTGTATTCAGTTGGTAGCTATTTCTTATCTCATGGGATCAATAAATTCCTCAGTACACACTGGATTTACATTTTCAATGTCCTTCTGTAAGTCAAAAATCAATCACTTTTTCTGTGACATTCCCCCAATTGTCACTCTTTCATGCTACAACAATGACACTAATTTCATGCTAATTTTGATTTTTGTTGGATTTAACTTGACATTCACTGTGATGGTTGTTATCTTATCCTACATATACATCATGGCTGCCATCCTAAAGATGTCCTCTACTGCAGGGAGAAAGAAAACCTTCTCCACATGTGCCTCCCACCTGACAGCAGTCACCATTTTCTATGGAACCCTTGCTTATATGTACTTACAACCTCATTCAGACAATTCTGAGGAGAATATGAAAGTGGCCTCTGTGTTTTATGGCATTGTGATTCCTATGCTGAACCCTCTGATCTATAGCTTGAGAAATAAGGAGGTCAAGGATGCTATAAAAGCCACAAGGAAAAAGATCCTTAAATTGGATTTAAATTATTAAAATTCAGTACAACATGTTTATTACTCAGTAGACTAGTATTCATCTAAAATGTCCACAAACTATCACTGTAGCACATTGATCTTTGAAATCATGTCCAGAGACTCTTTCAACCCTAGAATATTTGAAAGCATCTCACAGTTCTGATGAGAAGTATATTCACAGAGATTATTCAAATACCAAGGAGGAAATGTATGCAGAAAAATTTATTTCAAATGTATTTAAGTACATAGAAAATCCCTATTTGCACACCGTCATTATCAAAATTAACGAATATTATATACTCATTCTTTTAAACTGTTCTCTAAATTATCTACAATCATTTCCATTGCCAATTCTGTTCAAATTATTGCAAACAATCTTGATGTTAATAAAACTTTCCTATCTACAAAACATCTTTTTTATCCAAACTGTCATCTCTGCTCTATATTTACACATTTATTACTTTCCTTGATACTTGAAAGTACTTATTTATGTTATTGATCGTCCTCTTAACTTAATTATCCCCATTTTTGGGAAAGGAACTACTGGGAGCATATCTTATTTGTCTCCAATAGGGATAATTTTTAAATACAGTCATCTAAAAACTTACTGGTAAATATCCACTTTAAAAGGTAAAAATATCTCTCTGGGTTCCCTGAGGGACAAGCCTGACTGCATAGGGGTTAATGTCAAAAGTATCCCCTCTCCAGGAAAAAGACATCGGGATGGGTAAAGCCCTCATGCCTCACTGGACAACGACAGGGGGACCGGAGCCATTACAAAGTCCCCTTCAATTACTGGAGGTCAGGCTTCTATCCCTGCATTCGCAAGATTAAAATCGCCACAGCCCTTCTATACTTAGAGAAGGGAGGAGATGTCAGGGGCAGCCCTGCTTATACACTGAAGGCCTAAAATCAGCCATAGGCCTAAAATCAGCAATAGGCCTGTCATACATGTATACTAACACCAAGTCTTGGGTCTCAGTGGAAAAACATTGAAACAGATGACTATACGCTATTGTAAACAGGCAACTTTTGTGGAAATTTACCAGCCTGAGTAGTCATTGACCTTGTAAATAGGTAGCCTTGGTGGATAATACCAACTTAGGTAAGGACAAGTGAATCATAGGCAGAGTCATAGTGACCTGTCCCCTGAACCTTCACCCAGCCAATACCCTGTTCTGAAAGATATCTGTACTCCCCCTGAACACCCACGTTGCGGTGTCATCCCCTTCCCCATGTCCTGCCTTCTTGTGTTTATAACACATGTGTGAATAAGTAAAAATTATGACTTGATTTCAAAAAATAAATTCAAAAAATTTAAAAAATAAAAAAAGTAAAATACCAAAAAGAAAAAAATTTTTCATTAATGTAATTATAATAAAAATCTGTGCTCTGTTAATTCTAAAAAAAAAGGTATATGAATCTCTTTTATTTAGATAAGTCACTATAAACTACAGAAACTCAATGGGAATTCCAGTGGAACCAAAGAGCCCTTTAGTCAAAAATCAGCCATTAGCAGAAAATCTGTAGTACCTTATTGTCCCTCACATCAGTGATCTGAACATATGTAGGAAAACCTCCTGCAAAACAGTAGATTGTCTCTCAAAGTAAATTGTTTTTCAGGAGATACCTTGATGAAACTATATGATATGCCTGCCATAAACAAATATACAAAACTCTAGCCATTTAATGTTTGTTAAGACAAAATATTCATTATTATACTCTCTATGTTTATTTCTTTACAAGAATTTATTAGTTGTGCATTAATCTAGTTTTTTCAAATTTTATGTGTATGAGTAGTTTTGCCTTAATGTGTGTCTGTGTACCACTGGCATGTCTGTTGCCTATAGTTGCCAAAAGAGAGCTTCAGATCCCCTGGAACTAGCACTGTGGGTGGTTATGAACTATCATGTCAGTGCTGAAAAGTAAACCCAGGTTCTCTGGAAGAGCAACCAGTGCGCCAAAATGTTAAGCCATCTTTTCATTCCCTTTACATAGCTGTTTCAAAATCAATAAACAAAGCATGCACACAGATGAGTTGAATATGTTCATTGAGATAGACTATATAGCACCTAGACCTCACCTACAACAAACTCATGATGGGAGATCATGATTTACGAGTTCCAACAACAGTTCTTGAGTATTACTATAGATGTTCAAGTCTTCACTCAGAATTGGAAAGGAGGGCATGAGTGCTCATTCAATAAAGTCCCTGAGTTGTAAGCAAAAGAACCTGACCTTTAATTCCAGTACTCACTTGAAAAGCTGAAGCTCCCCGCACCCCGCCCCACCGCTCTTTGGGTACCGCTCCACCCTGGGGCATGCAAGTGAGTTTCAAGAAATTATTTTTTCTTAAAAAAAAAAATTCCAACTATTAATCTAAGAAACTGCTAATTGTGTGCTTTCAAAATAACAGTTTCTGGGTAATGTAGAAAAGGCCTGAGGTAGGCTCTTGGACCATCCAAGCTGCCCAGAAGAAACACACAGAATGTTGTGGTGACATAGATGGCTTTGAGTAGTCCTGCTTTTGTAAATAATCCCTCACTCATATTCTTATTAGCAACACCAATAAAGTTGTTGATTTACACAAGAGCTGAAATATAAATACACACAAGCACACACATGCACATGTACATGCATACATGTATACATGCAGTGGTAAGAGTGACATTCATGCCATAATTCCTTCTCTGGAATAGTAAAAATATAAATAAGAATGGGTAATGGACCCAAAGAAAGTATTGAATCAGGGAAGTGAGTTCTGGTATCCTAAGTCTGGGGAATAATCTCCTTTGGCCTCGTATACTGTCCTCTAAATACTTTAAGGGGTAAAACTCTCCCTTTCAAACTCACATTGAGACACTTCATGAATATCATAACCATCATTTTTCTACCAATACATGGTTTCTTAAGCTCCAAGAATAAATAAAATATCTCTCTCTCTCTCTCTCTCTCTCTCTCTCTCTCTCTCTCTCTCTCTCTCTCTCTCTCTGTCCTGATGTGAATCATTTTACTTTTTCAAGCAGCACTTCAAAACTTGTCCAGCATCTATTCACTACCCACATCCAAAAGCTGCTTTCCTATTTTTAAACACTTGAAACAGATGCCCTTCGCTCTGTGTAAAAATTTCAATCTCAGACAGTCTGGGCTGCTATAACAAGCTACTATAGCCTAGGTTGTTTCTAAGCAACAGAAATTTGTTCCTCACAGATCTGGAGAGTAAAAGCCTGAAATTAGGACATCAACTTGATTAGGTTCTGGCAGGGGGTTCACTTCTGAGATGCAGACTGAAAACTTCCCATGGTAGCTTTATAAGCAAAGGAAAGGAAGAGAGGGGAATAGAACTTTTTAAATGTAATTTATAAGGACATAATCCTCATTCATTAGGGTCCCAGTGTTAAAACCTTATATATACTCAGTAACTCCATTTATTTATTTGTTTGTTTATTTATTTATTTATTTATTTATTTTACATCCTGATTATAGCCCCACCCCAATCTCTCCTTTCCTCCCAGTTCCACCCTTACAAATTATTCCTTCCTTCCTTATACATTCCCCTTCTGCTCAGAGAAATCAAATTCCCCCCTTTGGGTACCACCCCACCCAGGGACATCAAGTTGCAGGAGGCCTAAGCGTATCCTTTCCCACTGAAGCCTAACAAGGTAGTCCAGTTAGGGAAAGGGGATCCAGTGGCAGGAAACAGAGCTAGAGACAGCCCTAATTCCAATTGTAAGGGGACCCACATGAAGTTCAAGCTCCAAATCTGCTATAAATGTGTAAGGCCTAGGTCCAGGCACAGCATGCTCTTTGGTTAGTGATTCAGTCTCCTTGAGCCCCCATGGACCCAGGTTAGTTGACTTTGTAGGTCTTCTTGTGGTGTCCTTGAACCCTCCAGCTCGCTCCAATTCTATATACCACTCTCTCACAAGACTCCTTCAACTAGTAAGCTGCATTCAAGTTGTACAGAAAGCTCCAGGGATGCAGCTTTAGTGAGTTGTCACCCTCAGAGTCTGTTTTATTACTTTTATTTCCCTTTTCGTGTCTTAAATGATTTTATTCATTTTCTTCATGTGTTTAATTGTATTTTCCTGTGTTTCTTTAAAGGATTTATTAGTTTCATTTTAAAGGCCTCTATCTGATTGTATTTTCCTGTATTTCTTTGAGGTATTTATTTGTTTCCTCTTTAAAAGCATCTATCAGCTTTATAAGGTTGGATTTAAGGTCATTTTCTTGCTCTTCAGGTGGGTTAGAATATCCAGGGCTTGCTGTAGTAAGACAGCTGTGCTCTGAAGATGTCATATCGCTCTAGCTCTTATTGTTTGTGTTCAGTCTGGTCTTTAGCCTTCTGGTTGTCCCTGGATGTTCCTGGTGTAGTAGGTATCCAGAAATCAGGCCTAATCTGAATGTTACTCATGCAGCAGGCCTCTAGTGGGCAACCTTGGACTACATGTTGTTGGTAGAGCAGACTTGGATGCTCCTTTTGAGGTGGTCCTGATGGAGGCCAGCAGAGTAATTGTCAGACAATGAAGCTCAGGGGACAGCATGAAGTTAGCTCAAGGTAGCTAGAAATGCCCTGGAGCATCTCAAATGAATTTGTAATCAGTATATGTATAATGTGTGCATTGAAGTCACCATTTGTGGGGTTATGTATGAAGAAAAAGGGCTTCTGTAGAAACTGTTTGTTCGTAATGTGTAGCTTTACTGATCTTTTTTAATGTGATTCCTGGCTAGCCAAAAAAGAAAACAAAAGGATAGAAAAGTAGAAAATGGTTACTTAGTTTATGATAATTCTACAAGGTATTCTGGTAAACTATGAGGTATACATTGTCCCTCATTTGGACAAGGTATGTAATCAGCCCTCCTCCTCCCTTAGATGACCAGTTTGTGGATTTTAAAACCTCTATACATATATCTTAATTATAATGATTGTTCTTCCATGGCATAAGAGACAGAAACTTATGCTGAAAGAGAGGTGCCATAAAATATATACACATGGAAGGACAGACAAAATTATCAACT